TAAAGGATTTCAACCCTTCTGGTATCTAATAGACAAAGGTTTGCTTCCTGCTTGCCTTCCACACAAGAGACAAAAAAAAAGAGAAGCCAGTGATTCAAGTCCTGAGTGGCATCATTGATGGACCAGGGGGAGTGATGGAGTCTACCTTTGGCAGGACAATACATTGAAAAGCCTCAGCACTTATTGGCATATTTTGGAGAACCTTAAAACAAAACAAAGCCTTTCAGATCTGTTATGGGCCATCAAGTTTCACCTGACTTAATGCAGCCCTCATAGGGTTTCCAAGTGGCATGAGGCACTTAAGAAGTGATTTTAACATTGCCTACACCCCACATTGAGTTGCCATGGCTAGCAGGGATTCAGAGTCCTGCTCTGTCGCTCTATCCATTACACAACTCACTCACTCTCTCTCTCCCCCAGGTATACCCCTATAATACCTTCCATCCTAAATCTGAGGAATTATACATTGGCCAGAGACCTGTTAGATGTGCCTGCTGACATAACTCAGCCCATGTAAACCTCAGGGGTGAATTGTGAAAATTATGAAAGCTCAGTGTAATTGTATGAGACTGCACCGATTGATTGACGCCGGCATAAAAGTATAACAGGATCCTGGCCGTTTTCTTGTGTTTAATGGATAGACTTTACTTTGTGCCATCTTGTAGAAAAAATAAAGTGAATTCTTAAATTCCACGGTTGCTACATTTCCTTGCAGGGGTTCCCAGGGAGCAAGAGATGAAAAATCTATTTTACATAAGTTGGCACGGAGAAAAGAGAAATTCAGTTTTCCTTCAGAGACATCCTTGAGGCACCCATACAGATATCCTCCTCTTACTCCATTTCCTCTAAACAGACAAGAGTTAAGGGTCTGACAGCTGGAGGACACCTAGCCAGAGACTTTCTGGTGAAGACACTGTGGAAAGAAAACAGGATTTTATACCTGGCCAATCGAGACAATTACTGTATTTTTTGCACCATAAGACTCACTTTTTCCCACAAAACAGGGGGGTGGAAAGTAATTACTATTTTTCTTGAAAAGGTTTACAATACATTTTAATCTGAACCCAACACAGGCTGGACCAGTTGAATAGTTTCTCCCCCCTCCTTTTTTGTATCAATATATTTGTATGTCTATTCATGTGGTAGATATGCCACTGGGTCCTTTCACATGGCTGTCAGTTAAATCCATCACATTTACTGCCATTTGTACTGGTTCTGTAGGCTACATTTGTCTTGAAAAAGTTTACAATACCTTTTAATCTGAAGCCAGCACAGGCTGGTTCCTGTCTCAGGGCCTAATCACATGGACCAGTTGAATAGTTTCTCTCCCCCCCTCCTTTTTGTATCAATATATTTGTATGTCTATTCACGTGGTAGATATGCCACTGGGTCCTTTCACATGGCTGTCAGTTAAATCCATCACATTTACTGCCATTTGTACTGGTTCTGTAGGCTACACGTGCCATCGCATAGTAAATAAATTCATTCTGCCTCCTATTTGTGGCTCCCCACTGGCCTAACATTTTCTTTCATTTTGAAAAATTTCGTAAGTGATAGATTGCTGATTTCCTGTCACTTCCAACTGTTAGCCAATGTGCCACTTGATGGGATATGTCACCTGCAGTCCATCCTTCCTTCCTTCCTTCCTTCCTGGTTCTGTAGGCTACACGTGCCATCGCATAGTAAATAAATTCATTCTGCCTCCTATTTGTGGCTCCCCACTGGCCTAACATTTTCTTTCATTTTGAAAAATTTCATAAGTGATAGATTGCTGATTTCCTGTCACCCAACTGTTAGCCAATGTGCCACGATGGGATATGTCACCTGCAGTCCTTCCTTCCTTCCTTCCTTCCTTCCTTCCTTCCTTCCTTCCTTCCTTCCTTCCTTCCTTACTTACTTACTTACTTACTTACTTACTTACTTACGGGGGCAGGAGCTGTCCCCTTCTGAGCAATGTAGTTCATGTTGCTGTTGCTGCTGCAAGGACTTTTCACAGATTTGTTGTTGTTTAGTCATGTCCGACTCTTCGTGACCCCATGGACCAGAGCATGCCAAGCCCTCCTGTCTTCCACAGCCTCCTGGAGTTGGGTCAGATTCATGTTGGTTGCATCGTCCAACCATCTGATCCGCTGTCGTCCCCTTCTCCTCTTGCCTTCACTCTTTCCCAACATCAAGGGTCTTTTCCAGGGATTCTTATCATGAGATGGCCAAAGTATTGGAGCCTCAGCTTCAGGATCTGTCCTTTCAGTGAGCAATCATGGTGCTCACAGACAGTGAGTGATTTATTGCTAAGCATTTTATTAAAAAGTTTTTTAAGGCCATGCATAGCACCCAAGAACCCGATTAGAACCAAATACACTGACAGCAGCATTCCCATGGGATAAATTGATAAGGGCTGACTTGATACAATCATTTAGAAAAGGCCATGCTGGTGAAGAGGGGGAAAACAATCTGACTGGACAAGTGAATTGCTGTTACATGTGCGTCATGTGAACTGAAATTTATAAATAACCGCCAATTCAACATAATTGGGGTTCTTTTGGAACATAGGAGTACACCCTCACTCAAAACCCATTTCTTAAAAAAAGTGAAACGTAAATAACTTTCGCTTTATTTGGGTATTTGTAAGCACACAGCCCAGTGATGCACAAGTTAACAGCCACAATCAATACAAAGTCAAAAGTGGAAATGCAGACGTTGTACTATCTATTCGTTTTTCGTCACATCAGTTTATCATAAAATCAATGCTGGCATACAGAGACATGGTCCAACAGAGGTAAATAATTTCAAACAAGAGTCTCAAATGATTGATGAATCACACATTCTGTAATGAAACTTTTCTATTTCACAGAAAGCTTTCTAGGCGGCTTCATTTGTGAAATACTTTCCCACCTACCTTTTCATTTGCCTACAAGTACTTAACAGTATATGCTCTCAAGAATACTGTAGATTCCCTGGGGCTTTTCTCTTTAGTGAAACAAGGAAGATTTTGGCTGCAGTGAAGAGAGGCTTCTGTAGTTATAGACTGGACTTCAATCCCATGTTAAGGTGAGATCAAACAGCCGTACATGCGCGCATCTGACCACACGAGAAAGGGTCGCTTTAACTGACGTGATCTCTCTTAAAGTAACCCTTCCATCTGCCAGAAAAAGCCTGGGCACTGATTGGGTTAGGTTACAGTGCATATCCCCATGTGTTGTGTGATCACTGGGGAACAGATCACACCATACAGATCCACAAGTGGTCCAAATTGTAATCCTTTCACCCTCATCCCAACTTTAATCTCAAATGGAGTAGACCAATGGAGTCAATAAAACTGACTTCAGAATCAATGAAATATATATACTAGAATAGATCTAACCAGCCAATGAAATTTAGACTGACTTATCAAATTCCCTTTCACTCTGCAGGCAGTGACATACTGGGTTTCTACACAGGTACCAGAGAAACGGTGGAAGCTGTAGCTGCCAATGGACAAGATGCTGGTCTCACATCCATATTCACAATTAACTACAGTGACTTCTGTTTTTTCTCTTGCATGTGAAGAAAAACACAATAGGATTCATTCCAGTGGCTCTATTCTGTGTGATTAAGTGCTGTCATATTACATCAACCTACATCAACGTGGTGGCGCTGTGGGTTAAACCGCAGAAGCCTCTGTGCGGCAAGGTCAGAAGACCAGCAGTCGTAAGATCGAATCCACGCGACGGAGTGAGCTCCCGTCATTTTGTCCCATCTCCTCGCCAACCTAGCAGTTCGAAAGCATGCAAATGTGAGTAGATAAATAGGTACCACCTCGGTGGGAAGGTCACAGCGTTCCGTGTCTAGTCGCGCTGGCCACGTGACCATGGAAACTGTCTTCGGACAAAACGTTGGCTCTACGGCTTGGAGACGGGGATGAGCACCGTGCCCTAGAGTCGGACACAACTGGACTAAATATCAAGGGGAACCTTTATCTTATAGCAACCCTAATAGAGTTTTAAAGATAAATGGGACATGTAAGGTGTGGTTTACCAGTGCCAAACCCCTCCCCCCCTGCAGCTTTTGAACCCAGATCTCTCAAGTCCTGAGCCATCAGTCTGTTCAAAACATCACACCGGATCTGTTCGATTAGAAGTTAATAACTGAATTTAGGCTCTGATGCAATTTAACAGCAAGGAATCGAGACCAAATCAATATTCCATTTCACTTATCTTATTACAACTCAGTGTGAATTTCTGAACGTTTGCCACTATTTGTACAATAAAATTATTGCCCGAGAACCATTTGGATTCTTACGTATTTTATGGAGAGCAATAAACAATCTACAGCTTTGTTCATACCTGAGGTGACATCTTTCTTCAGCTCGATGCGGTTTAAAGTCTCTGTTTCTTGTTTGGGCTTATCGGGGGCTTCCTTTGTGTGTAAGGGCTCTGTTCCCGCTTTTTGTTCTTCCAAACTCCTTCCAGGAGAGGTTAGACAACCAGAGGGACTAAGAAGAGAATCAGATTAAAGGCATATTTAAGAGAACATCCTCAGACCTTTTTTGGGGGGACTATAATTGTCAGAATATTCTGTGGGCACTGGCTAGGCAGTTCCAAAAAAGCATCTTTTCTAAACACAGAGTATTTTGTTCTGGACACCTTTTACAAGATCATCGGTGGGTCAGAAATGCAACGGCTCTCCTCTGTTGTTGTTTTTCCGCAACTGGCATGGAGAGATTTACCATTTTTCTACTGGAGGAAGGATGCAGAAATCATGATGAGAAGTATTTGTGAGAACAACCGTCTCCACGACTTTGTCTACTTCCCCTTTAGAACCTTCCAGAATGGTTGCCATTGTCATATTATGCGGCAGTGAATGTTGTAATATATGTACTACGTGGAGAAAGAAGCCCTTGTATCCTCTGTGGTTAAAACTCACATGACTCCAGTCAACAGCTTCGGGAGAGCACAGAGAACATAGAAAGACCATGAACAGCTGCAGGAAGCAGGCATGGCAGGCTCAGCCCTTTGCCAGCTTCACCTGGCGGAGACAGAGACCAAGTGCAACAGAGGCTGTCCAGATTCGCTCTGTTCCCCACGAGCACTTTTGATCCGGTTCTGAGAGAGGTCCTCTCTGACGTCAGCTGGCCGGACGGAGACGACAATCCTCCTGCAGACGTTCCGCCCAAGAAAGATGTAAATGAAAGGGTTCAGGCAGCTGTTTGCGTAACCCAAGCTGATGGCCACATTGTAGGCATAGTAGAAAGGCAAGGTGGGTTGGTGCATGGCCAGCTGGACCAGCTGCAGGGTGTGGAAGGGGGCCCAGCAGATGAAGAAGGCCAGGCAGATGGCGATGGCAACCCGTGTGACCTTTTTGGTCCGGAAGCTGTTGCATCGCTGTCCGGTCAATGCTTTCGAGGACCTGGCCATCCTCAGCAGGATCCGCCGGTAGGCCACCGTGATGAGGGTGAAAGGGATGGCGAAAGCCAAGAAGAATTGGTAGAGGGTATACCAGTAGATGTCTCGCTGGGGATCAGGCAGGCGAATCCCACAGCCCAGAAGCCCCCCTGGCAGGGGAATGAGTTGGGCGTACATCCACACCGGAGTGATGCTGAGGAAGGAAAGACCCCAGAGCGCACAGATGGTAAAGACGGCAACTGGGGGCTTCCGGAAACGAGCGGAAGTGAACGGATACACGGTGGCCAGATAACGGTCTATCGACATGGCAGTGAGGATGTAGGTGCTGGTGAACTGGCTGTTGGCATCCAAGGCGGTGATGATGGTGCACATAGTCTCCCCAAACTGCCAGGCCCTGTTGCCTAGCAACTGATGGATGAGAAATGGCATGTCCAGGAGGAAGAGCAAGTCCACCATGGAGAGATTAACGATGAAGATGTCAGGGACGCTGCTGGTGGGAGTGGACTTCTTAAAGACGGTGCAGATCACGAGGCTGTTGCCAACGATGCCCACGAGACAAATGATGCCAAAGAGGATGGGCATGATAAAGGTAGAATAGGTGAAGGGGCTCAGGTCATCAGCTACCCAAAGGAAGGGAGAAAGAGATAATGAGAGAGCAAAGAGAACAAACCCGGGGACTTGAGATCCTGTTACGGTGCTACACAAAAAGCATAACTTTTGGAGGCCAAGAGTCACGTGACTCAGCATGCAGCAGATAACGTCTGCTGAGATTTCCTAACTTGAGACAATTCAACTCCAAAGGTTATGCATTCTGTGTAACAGCACAACAGGATTTCAGCCATTGAATGATTTTCATACATTGATTAAGGGCAACTTTGGATACAGGACAAATTTTGCATAAATCCAGGTATTACAGTGGTGCCTCGCTTAACGAGCGCACCGTATAACGAAGAAATTGCATAACGATCCATTTTTTTGGATCGCTAATGCGATCGCACAACGATCGCCCCTATGGCCGAAAATCGCTTTGCGAAGATCGGTAAGCGGTTCGCTTAATGATCTTCGCAAAACGAAGCACCGACGATCAGCTGTTCGGTGGACAAAATGGCTGCCGGAAGCTCCGTAATGGCCACGCGCAGCGTTTTCGCGCCCTCCCCTCGCTTAACGAGGGCGCAAAAATGGCTGTCGGCCATAGGAACCCTCGCTGAACGGTGAGTAAAGGAGCCTTTTGGAACGCATCGTTTTGGAACGATGTTTAATGCGTTCCAATGGCTTTCCCTGTCCCGTTCAGCAATGTTTCGCTATAGCGAAGGTTAATCCGGAACGGATTAACCTCGCTATGCGAGGCACCACTGTATTGTTTTTCTCCTGCTGACACAGGCAGTATAATCCTAACCATAGATCCATTAGCTAGAGAGTATTAAGATGGCGTGGATGCCTCTTCAACCCCCAGAAATCCCTTTCTGATGCTAGAAACGTCTTCTGCCACCTGATCTCAGCAATTTGCTGGCAGAAGAGCTACCTTAGTGCTGTGTGAGGGAGGAGTTGAGTTGCAGGAAATTCAAACACACTTGAACCCAGAGACACAACCACGCAATATTGGCCGAAAGTCAGTCCTGGGAAGTGTAGTTCCAAGCAATTTCCACTACTCCCAGGTCGGGAGTGTTTTAAGATTCAGCACAGTTTCAGCTAATCCAGGTTCAGCTCTGATGCCCCCGGACCATCTTGATTATTAGGTTCGTGCTTCAAGGCGGCTACCTGTCTGGGAACATTTATAAAAAACAGGGATTCTTTAAGACAGCAGGAAGGATTTTAAGAATGGTTTTAGCCCTGGAGTGCATGCCACAAGGTAACCAGATATGGTGGATGATTTTGGATGTTGTTTTAAAATTATTGTTTACATTTCAAGAGGAGTACTCTTTTTAGATTTTCTGCTTTCACTCTTGCAGTGCTTCAGGCTGTGTCCTAATAATACTTAAAACTGAATTCACCAAACTCAACTTTTCCCTGAATCCTATTATGGATTTCTGATGATATAAGTGTGAAGGCATCAACTGTGGTGACAAAATGCTGCTACTTAAAGTGTTGCTGTTTGTATTCCGTGCCATAGGCCAAGTCATGTGATTTACATGTGACTAGGAATGGAATCGAGGGACGTGGTGGCGCTGTGGGCTAAACCGCAGAAGCCTGTGCTGCAGGGTCAGAAGACCAAGCAGGGGTAAGATTGAATCCACGCGACGGAGTGAGCGCCCGTCGCTTGTCCCAGCCCCCGCCAACCTAGTGGTCCGAAAGCATGCAAATGCGAGTAGATAAGTAGGTACCATCTCGGTGAGAAGGTAAACAGCGTTCTGTGTCTAAATCACACTGGCCATGTGACCACGGAAGATTGTCTTCGGACAAAACGCTGGCTCTATGGCTTGAAGAGCGGGATCAGCGCCGCCCCCTAGAGTCGAACACGACTGGACAAAAACTGTCAAGGGGAACCTTTACCTTTAGGAATGGAATTGGCAACTCACTAACTAGCAGCAATTTGGTGCCACAGTTGACACCATTACACTAACTCTTGGCATAAAGCGGCCAAAGGATTCAGGCCATTATTTGCCTGTCATCCTTGCCACAAAGGGACCCTATGGATTACAAGTCCAACCCCTGTCTAGGAGGCAATGTGGGGAATTGGACGCCCAACTTCTGGCTCCGCACCCAGATACCTAAACCACTGAGCTATCAAAGAGTTGGCTTCTCCCAAATTGTGGAAGGAACCCGATCCTGGGCCTAATGAATATATTAAACCACGGGACCTCCCGATTCATACCCTAATATAAAGATAAAGGTTGCCCTTGACAATTTTTGTCCAGTCAAGTTCGACTCTAGGGGGCGGTGCTCATCCCCGTTTCCAAGCCATAGACCCAGCGTTTTGTCCGAAGACAATCTTCCGTGGTCACGTGGCCAGTGCGACTTAGACATGGAACGCTGTTACCTTCCCACCGAGGTAGTCCCTATTTATCTACTCGCATTTGCATGCTTTCAAACCGCTAGGTTGGCGGGAGCTGGGACAAGCGACGGGCGCTCACTCCGTCGTGTGGATTCGATCTTATGACTGCTGGTCTTCTGACCCTGCAGCACAGGCTTCTGCCAATTAGCCCGCAGCGCCACCACGTCCCTTACGCTAATATATCACCAACTAATATCACCATTGCACCAACTTATTTATTTGCTCCATAAGTAGCCATTCCCTACAATGGAGAAATGTGTGGATTTCTAGATGTTCCTGGAACACAGTTTCCACCACCCCACTCATTAGCTGTGCTGGTTGAAGCTAATTCCCACCAAAACCTGTAAGGTATTTGCCAACTGGAACAAGCACGTTATTATTATCGCAAATGTCTTCCCACGGCCAATTCCACGAACAGTGGATCCACATGCCTGTTGGTTTGATTCTTTCAGAAGGCACTTAGCACCAGCAGAACTCAAAACATTTATGCACTTTTCCTTTTTTTGCATAAGTGCAACAGTTGTATGAAAAAAATAATGACCCTCTGGAAAAGGCTTAAGAGCACAGACTTACTCCTTAAACAATCCCCTTTGGTGTTGCTTTACTATGTAAGAAAATTGCATCGTGTCTATGGTGCTCCCATTAAAAGAAAATTCACATGTATAGGTGTGAGTGGCACAAACATTTTGTAAAAAGGCATAAACCTCAGTGTGAGACGCTGGAGGTACTACTGCTACAGAGCATCGGGGTTGCTTTGTCTTAGTTTATTTTCATATTTAATGTAAACTGCCCAGAGTAAACACGTTCTAGATGGGTGGTATACAAATGTAATAAATAAATAAAATTAAAATAAATAAAATAAATTGTTTGGATAGTAATGCACATTGCTCCACTAACTCCATGATAGGGCTAACTACCCTTTGCTGCATATAGGATCCCAGCCCTATAGTCCTGTCTTGGTGGCAGAACTGTAGTAATATACACTCATAGGATCACACATCTCTGCACAACCTAGTTACAGAACTGTACAAACTACCAGCTGTCATTCCCGTGGAGGCATATATTCCTCTGTACAGCAGCTTTGGCTGGCCAATTCCCTTTGAAGAGCTATATCTCCATAAGGACATGCATAAAGAAAAGCCACCATCATGCTCTTGAGACGTACTTCTGCAATTAAAGAAATTTCAGAGAGAATCTACATGGAAAGTCAATACTCAAAATAAGGAAGAATACAAGGATCTTTATGCCGAAGCAGCCAAGCATGCTCAATTTTATCCTACCTCTTATCCCCTTTGCGCCTCCAGATCTAGGGAAGGCATAATCCGAAGAGAGACCTTTATACACTTGCTAATATTCCGGCACCTCCTCATTCGATGTACTTACCAGTGTAGGAGAAGTTTCGTCCCATCTCAGAGATATTTGGGGCTGACCTGTTCATGCCGAGGGTGTGATTTCCTTGGAAATCCATCTCTAGAGAGGAGAGAGGCTAGATCCCGTTAGCGATCAGAAGATGTCACCATGCTGTTATTTTTTTGTGCAGAAGGGAGCCCGAGATCCAGAGGATGTTCTGCTGCTGCCATGCTCCTTTTCATGTGAAGCCAACAGAAGCCGTTTCTTCTGCTGTTTGGCTTCTGGAAAGCAGCTGGAAAGGGAAAAGGCACATACTTTCCCACCAGGTGATTCAGCTGACTCTCGACACCACCTTCAGGGCAGACTCTGGAGTCCGAAGAAGCAGCCAGAGGGGAGGACCATCCCTTGCAACCGATTTTTGGCACCCTCCTAGTGGCCAAAAGGTTGTCCTGGCAGCCTGGAAGCCACAATAAAGCAGAGTTTAACTTGGGCTCTCCGAGAGCTGTATAAATCAGCTCTGCTTTAGAGACAGCAGGTTATTACAGCGACACAACTGGCTCTCCCTGGAGAGCACATCAGAGCCTAGAGCACCACTTTACTGCCTCGATTTTTCAGAAGAAATAACGGTGTTATTCTGTTTCAGCACTGATGAAAGATGGGGAAAAACGTCTTGCAGGAAGTGTATTTACCTGCGTTTGCAAGCTGTTGGTACCAGCTGGAGTGTCTGGGGAAAGTCAGTGACTCAAATTCAGCCCTACGAAACATGGTTGAAAAACCGAGGGATTCAAAGTCAGGGTCACATTCAAAGCCTTTAAATGGATCTCAGATGGATCTGTCATTTGGGGCTTTCCTTATTTTCTTAAACTTCAAGTTTATTTCTCTCCTGTTTTTGAATGAATCGGTCACCTTTGGAAAGCTACGAGCCCAAAATGAGCCGAGGAGACCTCTCATTCGTTACCCACTGGAAGCGAAAAAAGGAGCAATAACATTTTGCAGCAAAAAAAGCTTACAGAGGCAAGAGTGGTTGGCGGAGGGGGGGGCAAAACTAGACAAGACACTGATCCTGTATCTTGAAGCACTGCTCCCTCAAGTGACAAAAGACATCTGATTGTAAAAGCATGTTAAAAGTTAGATGCACAATTAATCATTAAAGCATACACGGCAGCTTCTTTTGCAGATCTGACTGTTGGGTAAAAAAATGTAAGAAAGCAGATTATATTGCTGAAGAGTAAACATTGCAAGAGTATTTTCCTGAAGGGTTGTTTTTATCCTAGATACCTAGGGTCACATGAGCGTTTCAATTCCTGTTCAGTCCCCATATGATATAGACTTATACTCTGAGGACTGACTGCTCTGGTCACTCCTCTTCCAGCTGTTTCCCTGGAATATCACACATCAGCCGAACCCCTGTTGCTTAGTGTAGCAAGTCACACTAGAGTAGGCCCACTGAAGCATTGGGGATTTGGTGAGTCAACTCCTTTATAAGTTCCATCAAATTGGCCAACTCTAGTTTTGACTTACTTTAGCATAGTAAGTTGCATCTAGAGTAAATGCAATGGAATTGCTAAAATAAGTCACTACTCACTGATTCAGTGGGTCTACTCTACTGCAACTGACAAAGCTAAGCAACAAGATTTTACCCATTGTAGCATCCACAGTAGCTTCTAAAGGGCTATGCTGATGCATAGATTCAGTCCAGAATCCTAGAGGTCCACTATTATTAATCTGTAGGATCAACTATAGATTTGCAGAATATGCTGGCTTCTGAGTTCCCTAGAATTCTCCATTGGGTTGTTCTGAGTTCCCTAGAATTCTCCATCAGTCGCCTCCGACTAATGACAACCCTGTGAATGAGTGATCTCGAAAACGTCCTGTCCTCAGCTGCCCGGCTCAGCTCTTGTAGACTCAAACCTGTGGTGTGTTTTTTTGGGAGTCAATCCATCTTTTACTTGGCCTTCCTCTATTCCTGCTGCCTTCAACTTTTCCCACCATTATTGTCTTCTCCAGAGAATTCTGCCTTCCCATGATGTGCCCAAAGTAGGACATCCTCTGTTTCAATAGTTTTTCTTTCAGAGATAGTTCAGGCTTCACTTGATCTAGGATTCACTTGTTCATATTTCTGGCAGTCCAGGGTACAATATCCACAAAACTCTCCTTCAGCACCACATTTTAGTCATCTAACCTTAATCATCTAATCTGATTTCCCTGATGCGGGAAATTATTCTACTTTAAGTGGAGTTTCTGTGTCATAAAGCCTATACCCATGGCAGAGATACCTCAAGCACGGCACCTTGAAGACTAACAAGTTTTAATAGGCGTAAACTTTGATGGATCACCTATGTTGAAGTGGGCAGCCATACATCACAGCGCATGCCAAATAAAAGACAGGACGGTAGAATCTTCTTGACCAACGTGCTCCGTGTTTACCCCAGCAATCTCTGGCTTCGAGTCACACAGGGTGGAGATCATCTGTCGAAAACAACACAGATGCCTACTTATCAAAGAGGCTTGGAAGAGTCTGCTGTGCAGAAGTGCCGTGGAGAAAGGAACAGCACAAGGAACAAGCCGTTGTGTGTGCAATTCAGAAGCAAGAGGCCACTGGCAGGACCACAAAACTCTTGATCCCATTTCCTCCCCCCCCTTATGCTGGTCTTTTGCTCCTTAATTGAATTTCACCTTGCCTTCTACCCTTAATTCTCTGTGGTCCCTCCACATTCTCCCAGCGGCCTAAGTGACACGTGAGTTCAACAGACCGCAGCTAAAAGGTGCAAGGGATGGGAAAGATCATCACCATCTTCATCATCTCACCTGCAAAGCTGGAAGGAACCTTATGGATCACTGAGTCCAGCCTCTCTCAAGGAGGCATGGTGGGAAATCAAACTCCCAACCTCTGGCTCCACAGCCAGATGTTTAAGCCACGGAATGATCCATCAGTTCTCTTTTTCTGAGATGCTAGAAAGTCATTGCCTGCCAGAGAAGACCAAGGATGGGGTTACACTTCTATAGTCACTTTCCTATAAATGAACTCAGTGGGACTTAGGTCTGAGAAGACATGCCTAGCGTTGTATCATTGATGGTGGAGCAAGAACATGCATAACAAGTAACCTGACCCAGAAGGAGGTGATTATTAATTATTAATTAAT